ATGGATGGATGGATGGATGGATGGATGGATGGATGGATGGATGGATAATGGATGGATCTTGGTCTCATGTTGATTTAGGTACTTTCTTAAATATTTTCAATTTGACTGTTTCTAATGGCTTATGATTTATCACAGATACTGAAAAAAGAGGCATTGCATCTGCTTTGATATTGATAATTCAGTTCAAGATTTCTGTGGCCGATTAGTTTTCAGCCACAGATTCTTTTTTCCATGTGTGTGTGTTTAATGGAACCAAAAAGCTTAATAAGCAGGAATTCCAAGCAAACAGAATAAAAGCAATATGATTTAATCGACCAAAAGCTGCTGCAGTGACTAGCTGAATGTCTACTTCTGTCATCCCAGGAACACATAGAGACTCACAACCAAGCAAGACCAAACTCCAAAGCTTTGATCAAACTCAGCTCATCAGAAGCAGAAGAGCAGCAGAGAACAAATCAAAGCAACTTAAAATACAAACAGGAAGTGGCTAACAAAAGGCTACAACCATGCCCAACCCTTGGATGATAATTCCTCTCCTTCCCTTTTCCTTTTCCCTCTGCAGAATCAGGCCTGCTCTTTACAGCTGGCTCTTTGAACAGCTCCTTGGAGTCTGATGTCATCTCATTCTTCATCATCGAGGGGTTAGCCGGCCTCAAGGAGAAGAAGATGATCCTGTTTGTTATCCTGTTGCTGGCTTACGTCACCATCCTGGGAGGCAATAGCATGATCATCTTTGTGGTAGGGGGCAGAGTCTGGGCTTGCTTTGGGTCGTTCCTCCCTCAGGGATGTTTAGAGGTATCCTAAGTACTTCTCCTGAAGTACTTCCTCACTCCACCTACCTGGAGTGAAGTACCTCTAAGTACCACCTGATACTTTCCTTTAAGTATCTCCTGTATCCCATAGTAATTTTCACCACTATTTTCAATAGTAACCTGCACCCATTCCCAATGGGTGCTCTGGCCCTGCACCTCCCAAAAAGACCTAATTGTGTCTTTGGACCGGCTTCGAAAATATATATATTATTATATATTATATATTATATATATATATTATACCTGTATTATATATTGAAATAACATATATATATATATATATCCTTTTCCTCCCTTACCACCTCAGACCACTTCCACACTCCTGCTGGGATCCCAGCACTGGTGCTCCAGAACGGCACCGCGATTCGGATAAAAACGTCTGGTACATGCATAAATGTTAATGTAAATGACACGCCAGGAGGTTTTGCGAGGTTGTGGTGCAGAGGAACCAGTCGGAACCTCGAAGACTGGAGTTTGAGACCCCTGATTTAGAGCTTTCAGTCATATTTAAATAGTTGCATATATATTTATTTGCATTTTGTCCCTGCAGTTTTTCTCTGTTTGTGTGTTTTTGTTGCAGACACGCTCCGATCCAAAGCTGACATCCCCTATGTATTTCTTCCTGCGCAACCTCTCCTTTGTGGACATGGCCTACACTACAACCACCATCCCCAACATGCTGTCGGGTCTCCTCACAGACAAACTGACCATCTCCGTCCCCGGCTGCTTCCTGCAGATGCAGTTCTTCATCCAGCTCTCTGTCACCGGCCGGGGGATCCTGACAGTGATGGCCTTCGACCGCTACCTCGCGATCTGCAACCCCCTGCGTTACGCCGCCATCATGACCCGCCCCATCCGGACACTCCTGGTGGCAGGGGCCTGGGCCTTTGGGGCGCTGTGCTCCCTCCCGGCCACTGCCATGGCCCTGCGGCAAACCTACTGCGGCCCAAACCTGGTGCGCCACGGGTGGTGTGACCCGTCCTCTGTGAGGCGGCTGGCCTGCTCAGATGTCTCAGTGGATAACGCGGTGTCCCTGTCCTTTGCCCTGGTGGCCCTGCTGACCACAGGAGTCCTCATCCTGACCTCATACGTCCTGATCGGCGTCTCTGTTTCCCAGATGAGCGTTCCTCAGAGGCTGAGGGCCTTCGGCACCTGTGCGGCCCATCTGACCGTGGTCTCCATCTCCTACAGCGCAGCGTCCTTTGTGTACATTTCCTACCGCGTGGGAAACTTTTCCCCACAGGTATGAGTTGGAGCTTTTAATCGGTGAATTTGGGTCATGTTTGGGTGCTTTGGTGAACAGCTCAGAAACAGCTCAACAGAAAGAATTAAGAAAATCTGCGGATGGGATTCATCTCAGTGGGCTAATTCTACATGAAAGATTTCCCAATAACCTTAATGGATAAGGCAAACCTAGGGTTGTGGGTTCGAGTCCATTCTGGGGTGTATTTGTGTTAGAGGGGCTTTGTTTTAACAGGAGCTAATGGGGAAACTGGAAGCTTAAAGGGCCTCGTAAGCCAATAAAGACTCATAACAGATTCAAAACAAGGCTGGTGCACAGGCTGAACCTATTTTCTGTGAAAGGCCTGACGTTTGTGCTGTGTTTTGGCCTTTATCATACAGGACTGATGTCAGGCCTTATGGCAAGGTCACCTCAAGGTCAAAATACATCCTTTGCTGTTGTGCTGGATTTTTGTTTTGAAACAAAAAATTTGAAAGCCAACAAGGACATTTTTTCATTCAAATTCAAATTGGAAGATGGACTACTTTAATTTTTTTATGTAACTATGATAGAAAGCGTCAGAACATTTAAGACACTAAATTTAAAGGAGACATATTATACCCTATTTCAACAAGTTAAACTAGTTCCCTGGTGTCCTAATGTAATGTCTGTGACAAGCTTTGGTCAAAATACCATAAGGGTGAAGGACAATAACAGTTCAATCACCCTGCCAAAACAGCCCCGTTCAGAGTGATCGGTTTTGAGTGCCTGTCTCTCTAAATGCAAATAATACACAGGCAATCCACCCACTTCTTCCGGGAGGTGTGCCGAAGTCGGCACGCTAACGCTACCATGCTAATGCTACCATGCTAACGCTACCATGCTAACGCTAACGCTCACGCTACCATGACGTCTGCCACAGATAGGTGGAGTAAGCTGAGGTGGGTGGCAACATGCAGGTGAAATGCTGGAATATTATAATGAGCTAGAGCTAATGACGTCATAAACTACCGATTCCTGAAACCGCCTGATTTATCTCCTGTATTGAGACTGAAGCAGCCCACAAAAATATGACTGAGTCATTTTTTTTCACACTTTGCCTGCTGATAGGCCCTCCACAGTCCCAAATGTACATTTTGGTTTTGGATAATATGTCCCCTTTAAACAGAAGCAGCAACAGTTGGAAATGTGATTACACTTAAATGAACAAAAGTCAACAAGAACAACCCAGGATGATGATAAACAGATTAAATAACATTGTTTTAAGATGGTTAGAATTACCATTAACTACAAAATGACCCAATAAAAATCTGAAAAAGACTGAAAAATAAACTATAACTATATACAGAACAAGATAATTAGACTCAGATTTAAAATGAGGCTGATAAGAGGGCAACCTACAAAAAGTGGATTCATAAAAATTAGCTTAAACAGATGTTAAATTCCCAGAAATGGACAGGAAAAATATCTAGTAGTGGCTGCTTTGGCTTTTTTTAGTCTTCTGTGGAGAAAAAGTGTTTTTCAGAAAATTCAAGAAACTTTTTCTGGAGTTTCCAGTGACAGCAGCTTTGTTTCCACCCCTTTTCCAGGTGCGCATCATTGTTTCTGTGCTGTACTCGGCTTTGACCCCTTTCTTGAACCCGATGATCTACAGTCTAAGGAACAAGGAGCTGCAGGAGGCCATCAGGAGGACTGTGAGCAGATTCAGAGCTGCTGCCGTGTCAGCAGTAAAGCCTGTGAACACGATGACCTGAGCAGCCGGCCAACCTCTGGACATTAAACTGGCCTCTGTAGTCAAACATCTTAACACACTACCCCATTCTCTTTGGGCATATGTTTAATTCGTTTTCATAAAAGTGTGGTTTTACCTCGCAAAGTAAAGCCATGAGGTTTTTGTTCAGCCAGGCAGTAATAAGCTTACAACATTTAGGGAAAATGGGACCCTTTCCTGCTTATGAACGCAAGTACAAGTAAATCTTTAAAACAGTTAACATTAAAGAAACAATAGAATAATTGGAGAAGGTAGGTTTTAGAGGTTTTCTAGCTTCATAACGCCATATTCAGACTGAAAGCGTCCATTAAAAGGTTTAACTCCTGTAAAAGCCTTAATTTAAATCAGGTGTGTTTAATCATAGAATCACCAATGATCCTCAAAGGTGGGCTTGGACACTTTGGCTTTGGAGGGGCTCTGGCATCATAAAAAGACTTTACTTTCACAACATCATTCAGTAATCGGCTCATCCAAATCCAGTGATATTCTTGGCAAAAATGAAGGTGAATAAACAGTACTCATATTTGTGTGTTTGCGATTTTAATAGTTCAGTCTCACAGTTAAAAGCTAGAAATAAAAGAAAATATTATCCTGTCAAACATTCATGTGGATTTTTAAATAAACCAGAATCTGGTGACGGGGTTGTTCTATGTTCTTTTGTATCTTAAATACTGAACCAGATTGCTGAAAAATTGCTCTGTATCTAGTGAATGCCAGCTGGATTTGGCCCACAGCTGGTTTAGGCAGGTACAGCAAAAAAACAAATAGATGATTTCTTGGAACAGCTGCTCACACATCAGGTTAAAATCTGGTTCAGGGTGGGGGAATGAAAGACCCTCCTCTTGACTTTGGGCCAATTTGACCTGTTCAAAAAAGCCTGACAAGGACATAAATGGCTCAATACTGTTCTGTTTGTGCTGTTGTTACAAAGATTTAAAAGGATTAAATACATATGTGCCTCTATAGTCAAGAAAAAGAACATTTTCTGCCTTTTTTTTAGCTTTATCATAAAATTTTTAAAAAATTACTGGGAAATATGTGTTAATGTGCTAGAATATATTTCACAAAGAAAAAAATCCCGGATGAGCACCCTAATATATACATATATATATATCGTCCGGTCAGGCCGGATAAGCAGAGTCGGGATGGGAAACCTAGACTTCCCTCTCTCTCACCACTTCTGCCAGCTCCTCTGGTGGGATCCCAAGGCATTCCCAGGCAAGCCGACACACATAGTCCCTGCATTACGCCCTGGGTCTTCATCTGGGCCTCCTCCCAGTGGGACCTGCCCGGGACACCTCACCAGGGAGGTGACCAGCAGGCATCCTAATCAGATGCCCAAGCCACCTCAACTGGCTCCTCTCCACGTGGAGGAGCAGCGGCTCTACTCTGAGCCCCTCCCGGATGGCCAAGCTTCTCACCCTATCTCTAAGGGAGAGCCCAGCCATCCTGCGGAGGAAACTCATTTTGGCCGCTTGTATCCTCGACCTCGTTCTTTCAGTCACTACACATTACTACCGACGCCGCACCGCTCCGCCTGTCGATCTCCCGCTCCCTACCCCCATTCGCAAAGAAGACCCCGACATACTTAAGGACATCCCTCCGACACAAAGAAGGCACTATACACTTCTCCGTTGAGAGACCATGCTCTCAGACTTGGAGGCACTGATCCTCATGCCAGCCACTTTGCACTCCACTGTGAACCGCTCCAGCGAAAGCTGTAGATCACGACTTGATGATGCCAATAGGACCACGTCATCGGCAAAAAGCAGAGGTGCGATCCCAAGGCCACCAACACGGACACCTTCAACCCCTTGGCTGCGCCTGAAAAGTTATGAACAGAATCGGAAACAAGGGCAACCTTGGCGGAGTCTAACTCTCAGCGGAAACTAGTCCGACTTATTACCGGTGAAGAGAACCAAGCTCTGACTCCAGTTGTACAAGGACCTAACAGCCCGCAACAAAGGGCCCCTCTACCCCATACTCCTTGAGCACCCCCCACAGGTTTCCCCGCGGGGGGCGGTCGAACGCCTTCTCAAAGTCCACAAAACACATGTGGACTAGTTGGGCGACCTCCTATGCAACCACCACGACCCCGCTGAGGGTATAGAGCTGGTCCAGCATTCCACGGCCAGGACGGAAACCACAATGCTCCTCCTGAATCCGAGGTTCAACTATCCGGCGGATCCTCCTCTCGACCATCGACCATCCCTGGGAGGCTGTGTGGCAAGAGTCTGATTACCATGTAATTGGAACACACCCTACTGTTCCCCTTTTTGAATAGGGGGACCACCACCCAAGTCTGCCAATCCAGCGGAACTGCTCTTTATGTCCACACAATATTGTAGAGTCGTGTCAGCCAGCGCAACCCTACAACATCCAGAGCCCTGAAGAACTCCAGCCAAATCTCATCCACCTCCGGAGCCTCGCCACCGCGGTGCTTTTTGACCACCTTGGTCAAAAAGCCTAACAGGGGACTCTGACAATTGCTCCCAGCAGACTTTCACAATACGTTTGGGCCTGCCCGGTCACACCGACATCCTCCCCCACCATTGGAGCCTACTCCCCACCAGGTAGTGGTCAGTGGAAAGCTCCGCACCCCTCTTCACCCAAGTGTCCTAAACATGTGGCTGCAGATCAGCTGAAACGACAACAAAGTCAATCATTGAGCTGCAGCCTGGGGTGTCCTGGTGCCAAGACCCTATATGGACACCCTCATGCCTGAACATGGTGTTAGTTATGGACAATCTTTGCCAAGCAAAGAGGTCAAACAAAAAAACGCAACTCGGGCTCAACCTGGGGGGGCCTTTCCTCCCAACCACACCCCTCCAGGTCTCACTGTCATTGCCCACGTGAGTATTAAAGTCCCCAGGATGGGAACCCTCCAGCATCCCCTCTAAAGGCTCCAAAAAGGGTGGGTACTCTGCACTGCTGTTAGGCGCATAAGCACCAACAACAGTTAACACCCATCCCACCGCCCGAAGGCGAAGGGAGGCTACCCTCTCATTCCCTCAAATCCCAATGTACACAAAGTACATTCACAAAGTGTGTTGGAAGGGGGAAATGTGTCAGGAAATGCTACAGAGCCAAGAGAGGTGACCGCAGCCTTAACAGCATTGTGAAGAAGAGCCTCTTCCAGAATTTGGGGGAGCTTCAAGGACAGTGGACTGAAGCTGGAGTCCACGTATCAAAAGCCACTGTTCACAGACGTGTCCGGGCAATGGGCTACAATAGCCGTATTCCCATGGTCAAGCCACTTCTGAACTCAAGACAATGGAAGAAGCGTCTGACTTGGGCTATGGAAAAGAAGAACTGGACAGTTGCAGAGTGGTCCAAAGTCCTTTTTTCAGACGAAAGCAAGTTTTGTATGTCATTTGGTAGTCAAGGCGCCAGAGTCTGGAGAAAGGCTGGAGAGGCGCAAAATCCAAGTTGCTTGAAATCCAGTGTGAAGTTCCCACAGTCAGCGATGGTTTGGGGAGCCATGTCAGCTGCTGGTGTTGGTCCACTGTGTTTCATCAAGTCCAGAGTAGATGCAGCTGTGTACCAAGAGATTTCAGAGCACTACATGCTTCCATCTGCTGAAAAGCTCTATGGAGATGATGATTTCATTTTCCAGCATGATCTGGCACCTTCCCACGGTGCCAAAACCACCAGTAACTGGTGTACTGACCATGGCATTACTGTCATTGATTGGCCTGCCAATTCCCCTGACCTGAACCCCATAGAGAATTTGTGGGGTATTGTGAAGAAGAAGCTAAGAGACACCAGACCCAACAATGCAAATGAGCTAAAGGCTGCTATTGAAGCATCCTGGGCATCCATAACACCTCAGCAATGCCACAGGCTGATTGCCTCCATGCCACGCCGCACTGATGCAGTAATCTGTGCAAAAGGATTCCCAACCAAGTACTGAGTGCATTAATGGACCTTTTCAAATGTTTGATTTTGTTTTGCTGTTATAATTTTTTTTTAAACTTTGTCTGAGGAAATATTCTAATATTTTGAGGAAGGACTTTTGAATTTCTTTAGCTGTAACCAATAATCAGCTATATTAAAACAATAAAAGGCTTGCGATATTTCAGTTGATTTGTAATGAATCCAGAATGTATGACATTTCATGTTTTTTAATTGCATTACAGAAAATAAAGAACTTTACCACAATATTCTAATTTTCTGAGACAGTCCTGTATATGTAGAGAGAGAGTGAGATAAGTCTTTTTTTTTTTAACTTTGCAGCAATCACAGCATTCTTGGTGAAAATGATGACAATTTTCTGACAGCTTTTAATTGCACACCATAGATTGTGGCCTTCTGAGCTGGAGGGACCAGATGGAAAAGGATGGAGGCCAGCTTCTTGTAGTCGGACAGGTCGCTATGCCCGGCTGCTTATTGCCATTGTGCAGCCGCTCAGACACACAACGCCAACGCGCAGGTATCTGAGCACAATGCTGCCCAGCGAGCAGCCCAGCTGGGCAGGAGCCCCATCGTTAGCACCATCGCCTCACAGCAAGAGGGTTCTGGGTTCGAGTCCCTAGGGGAACCAGGACTTTTCTGTGTGGAATATGGATGTTCTCCCTGTGTCTGCGTGGGTTGTCTCCGGGTTCTCCGGCTTCCTCCCACAGTCCAAAAACTTGCATGTTAGGTTGACTGGATATTCGAAATTGCCCTTAGGAGTGAATGTGAAGAGTGTGATTGTGAGTGTGTGTGGTTGTTCGCCTCGCCCTGCGATAGACACGACCATCCAGGGTGTACCCTGCATCTGGGATAGGCTGCAGTCCCCCCGCATCCCCATTAGGGAATAAGCAGTTAAGAAAATGAATGGATGGATGGATTGCAGAGGAAAAAATATATGTATGGATGCAGTATGAAAAATAAAGTAAACCCTGGGTTATTTCAGAATTCTGTTTTCTTTAAACTTGTGTGACTGACTGAGATTAAATCAACTTTAATAAACTTAAATTAGATGAATAAAATAAACATTTA